CATAATGGTCCTTTCTCATTTTTCTCAAAAAGAGAGAAAAAAAGATGATGATACTAAAAACTTGCTCTATTTGGATGACTCATTTTCTCTTTTTACCTTGAAACTATTTAAGAGTAGTTTTTGTTAAGTTTTGGTCATTTCATTTGTATTTGTCCGAAAATATTTCAATAAAAAGAGAAAGTTAAAAATTTATCTGCTTTGCTTCCTTTCAATTCAAAGCGGAAACTCTTTTTTTTTCTTTTCTCTCTTTTTTAATGGTTTCAGTTATCGCTCTAAAAATGTTTTATAATTTTAGAAACAAATTTTCATTCATCCATTGCTTTTTATATAGTATTGTTAACGGAATCTATCATTAAAGTTTCAAGGTTGTTTGTATGTTTAATTTATTCTAATTTTAAATTCATTTTTTTTTCTTTGCTTACTTTTGTTATCCTCTTTTATACTATTTTAGTTTTGGATGAAAGAGATTAGAATTGTTAAGTGATTTTGAATTGTTTAGCGAAAGCAGTTTAGTTAGAGAAGTGTTCTTGAATGAGAAATGGTTACTGGTTCTCTCTTTCAAGTTTTAAATTTTGATTTTCAAAAAGTTTAATTTTAGGCAAACGTGTTAAAAATTTTCGTTTCTTTTAATTTGTTTAGATTGAATTTTCAGCCAATGAGCAACACGCGATGTACAGCTTTATTATTTATGCTTTCACAGGTATGAAAAGTTAACATTTGTTTTAATTTAAATGAGAAAAAATAATTGAAGTAATGCATTTGTAGTTTTGATGGGATGGAAATAAGAATGACGAAGTCATAAAATTCAATTTTTGCATTTCAATTTCAAAAAGTTAAATTTTTTCAGCTTTATTTGCTCATTTTGCTAGAATCATTGAAAATTTTAATTTTTACCATCAAATGAAGAATAAATATTTCATAGGATATTTTACTAATTTACATGTAATAACAGGTAAATTAAAATTGCATTGAAAAATGAAATTCTTCAAAATGCCACCATCTACAAGAAAAGAATATTGACCTTTCTTCCATCTATTCAAAGAATGTTTAATATTTTGCGGGAAAAATAAGAAAAAAAAAAGTTATATAATAAAATTTTGTTGAATAGCTGAAACCTGTCTTCTCAATAACTTTCTCTTTCTTCTTTAAGTTAGAACCGGTTTAGTCAATCAGAATTCGTTACTTCGTTTTTTCTTCTTCTTCTGAAAATTTTTTTCTAAAGCTAATAAACTGAAAGGATTAAATTCAATGAAATTACATTATCCTGTTTTGAATGGCTTATTGCACCACATACATAAACATAAACATATCTCCAACACCCGTTTCAGCTACAAAATTTTTTGCTTTTTCATCTCAATAAAAATTTCCTCTTAAATAAATTCATTATTTTGAAAGAAAATTCAAAATACATGCTGTATGAAATTAATAAAATCAAGATTTTTCTTGTCTTGTTGCAAGATTTTGCTTGACCTATTGACCTCTCTTTCTCTATTTTATTTATTCTATCTTAAGTCACTTTCATTAGCAAAAAAAAAAATCTAATTTTTTTTCTAATGGAAGTGACTTAAGATAGAGAGAGAGAGAGAGAGAGAAGGATTTTGCTATGATTACTTCTATTTGTTCTGTTTCAAAAAAAAAAAGAGCAACTTTATTATAATTTGGTCTCACCAAAAAAAATGCCAAATAATGAAACTAAATTTCACAGAAATGCAATGTTTACTTAAATGATATGATCGAAAAAAAGAATCAATATCCACATATAAAGAATGAACATGCAATGTTTACTTAAGATTGAAAAAAAAATAAAAGAATTAATACATAGAAAAAAATTAATATGTATATGTATTAATAAAAAGTAAAAGTTAGCAAAAAGATAATTTTTAGAAAACAGAAAAATAAATTTTACCATTTTTTTTAACTATCAGAATAAAGTTATGAATTAAATTATTTATCACATTTTTTATTTTTACTATTAACGAATAATCTTTTTTTTATCTCCAAATATTTCTTCTTGCAATCTTTAATCTGATTTAAAATGGTCGAATTCAAAAAACAGAAAAATAAATTTCACCAATAATTTGATGAAATTTAATTATGCCATAGTATAAACGAATTCATATTTTTCCAAAATTTTCAATTGTTTTTTTTTTTTTGTTACACTCGTATTATTTCGCCTTTTTCTTTCTAATTTAGTTGCATTTTTTCGTTCATAATTTTAATTTAATTTAATTTTTTTATTGTTTCATTTTGAAATACTGTAATATCAAGATATAAAAAATAATGTAAACAATTTTTTGAACTCATCCAACATCATGAAATCGTATTCCTGGAAAAGTGCTAAGTTAGCAAAGTTGGGAATAACTATCAGGTAGTCCATAAAATATTTTCTCAATGATTTTTATTTGTCGAAACTTAATTGCATATAGCTGTTACAGTTTAGATAAGAGCTATTTGCTTACACTATCTATTACTTTTTATTTATTTGCTCAATTACTGATGTAATTACAAATATCACGTACGTAACATAGAAACACAACGATGTATTGTTTTTAATAGCAAGTAAGTAATAAAGAAATATTTGATATGCACGTGTCTTTGCATACATATCAATGGATAAAATTGTACAATAAATAGTAATACAAATTTGAAATATCAAATAAACTTGAAAATATAAAACTTTACATTATAAATCTTATATTCATGTAACCTTCGATATTTTAAGGAAATTATTTCTTAATAAATATGAAGCTAAAATTTGGCAATTTACATTTTTATTCTCTGATTTATATTATAGCTGTAATTTATTTTAATAACTTTATGTACAATTTTAAGCCATATACCTTTTTCAACTTAAATGCTAAATTTGTTGATATATGAAATCTTAAATTTAATACTTATAAATTTGGCATTTGATAAATTAGAAAGAAACTGCTAAAAGGATCAAAGTAGCATTCAGTTTGTTGGTATACTATCTGACGAAAGAAAATTTATACTAATTGTGCTATCATTTTTTCAAACATGGAAATTAAAAAAGAAATTGGAAAAATCATCTCTATAAAAGAATAATTTCATTAATAAATAAATTTAATTTTACCCGCAATTATTAAAACATTAAAATTTCTAAATTTCCACTAAATGATAACTTTTTTGAATCAACTTTAATTCAATTATATAATTAATGAATTTATCCAATTTACGGAGTATAATAATGATTGAAAATATAATTATTTTAAACTTTGTGGGAGAAAAAAGCGATCCTATTCATTAACATTACTTTTTTGCGCATGTAAAACCTACGGATGAAATGAAACAATTCGATTATTCCTCGATGGAAATTCATACATCAGATGTGATTTGGTAAATACTGATAAAATAACATAATTATTTATCAGTATTGGTACTGCAAAATTAATTCTTTCACGAGCACTCATCCTGTAAACATATCGTCAAATATTCAATTATCCATTTGTAATTAAAATAAACAAACGCAATAATTTCATGTTATCTCATTTTTTATTTGATTAACTTTCCTCGTCAATATCTTTTCAATCTAATATTCCTACATTATTCGAATCCTTCATTGCAATATAATTTGCGACAGTAATATGCTTGCTGTAGAGAAGCTGATTTTTGATTTTTGAAAAAAATGAGAGTTAACTATTTTCGTTTTTTTTTTTAGATTTATTGAATAAAATAAAAATTCACGTAGTTAAATATTTTTGATTTTTTTTAAAATCTTTTTTTTTTCGGTAATATAACAAATAGGTTTGATGAAGGAAAAAAAGTAAAGAAAAGCAAAGAAAAATGGACAGTATTTGTAAATGGCAGCTGATAATTCATTTTTGTTCATAATTTTATGCCATAGCTAGCTGAAATATCAAATTCAAATTTGTGAAGATTAAAATTTTAAGGATGAAAAGATAACACTCATTTTGGAAATATTTCAGGTTTTGCAAAAAACTGTTTGTATTCCGATCGATAATTCGATTTCAGGTAGTATTTACCCAAAAAATTACAAACTTGAAGGAACGCATAAAAAAGTTTCAAGTCTTTTTTTTTAATTTATACAAAAATGGTTAAATTGCCTAAAAAAATTAAGTGTAAATTAAAATTATACAGAGAAGCCAAGTATACAATGTGATCCGGATAGTATATCAATCATTTTTTCAACAACGAAACCTTTTGTCGGTCGTACATTTGTTAAAGGATATATTCAAGACAACAATTGCATTCAGGTAATCAATTTAAATTATTTATAATTAATTAAATCAGAATAAAAATTGGCAATATTGACTGCTATATTACTAAATGATAACAAAAAAATTTTCCTTTTATTATCATTTTTGAAACAAAAACTTTCCTTTTTGATTTTGCAATTTCCAGCAATTTTAACGAATAATAAATGTTAAATGTTATAATGATTTTAATTTTTCATTTTAGAAAAGAATAAAACACATAAAATAATATGTCAAATTATGTTTAAGAATGAAAAGTTTTGCGGTCGTTTATGAATTTCATGGTATATAAGAAAAAAAAAGTTTTTGTTTATTCATTAATTTTAGATCGGAAATCATCATGATCAACATAAATTTACCATAAAATTCAATCAATGCGGGTTACGCCGTTCACGAGAGGTTTGAATTTAATAATTTCACATGGATAAGATAAGATTAACAACGATCAGAGTAAAAGAACCATAAAATAATTTATTGTGATTCATTTCAGTACAGTGGTATTCGAATTACAACAACGGTCATCATATCTTTTCATCCGGTATTTTTATTTAAAAACATTCACCAAATTAATTTTTATAATGTTCCTTCTTTCCTTTTTTGTATAATTAGCTTTTAGAATATTTTTTGTGCATATAATTGTTTGTAAATATTTAGCATATATATTTTGCAGCAAATATTTCTTCCTAATTAATTTAAATCAATGAAAAAAGAATTTAGATTTTTCTGACCAAAGTAGATCGAGCATATCGTCTGAATTGCTTTTACATGGAATCAACGAAGACGATTACTCAACAACTAGAAATTAGGTATTTGAGTACTCCATTGTTAAGATAATAACTATGACATTCAGCTAATTATAAATTATGATTTGCATGAAATTTGATTCAAATTAATTTGAAGATATAAATTTGAGACTTTTTGATATTTTAACCAATTAGTTAAATTATGCATATCTCAGTTAAAAAAAAAAATTCAAAAAAAAAACTTTCTATTTGCAGTATGATGACAACAGAAGAGTTATATCGGCAAACACAAATGCCAATTTGCAGGTATCATAAACTTTCAATAATCAATTTAGAATTAAATTAAAAATTTATTTATTGCAAGATTAATTCCAAATCCAGAATGCTCAAAAATTCATCTATAAATTTGTCTAATAAATTTAATTCAAATTTAAATTTTTAAATTTTACCTAATTTAGATGTAAAAAATTTTAATGAATGAAAAACATTTTCAGGTATGAAATTCTTGATGGAAGTACCACAGGAGTACAAGTACGATATGCAAAAGTTGGTGATAGTGTATATCATCGATGGACATGCGTTGCCGAGACTAAAGGTCTTTATTGTATGCGAGTGCATACATGTACTGTAAGTGATGGACAAGGCGGTGAAGCAGTCGCTGTCATTGACAAAAAAGGGTTAGCATATAATTAATAATTGATAAAATTTGAAAAATTTTATGATTTCAATTGCAAATTTTCAATAAATATTTAAGAAATTTTAGCAAATGTATTTTTTTTGAAAAAAAAAAAAAAAACCAAAATTTCTAGTGTTAATCACATCACATGATTATATTTATTTGCGATAAAATTGGGAAAAAAAAATTTTTGTTTGTAATTTATTACAATTTTCGCAAAGAGGTTTTTTTTTTGTTTTGTTTTCAAAAATTTTCATAATAGTATTGTTAGGAGAAAAATATTCGTATTTGTTTGTGAGCAAAATTGAAATTGTACATACTATACAAACAAAACACACTCATCATACTCGTACATCCACACCTACACACTACACCCATACACATACACTCACATACACACCCACACAGTCACGCAAAAAAAAAGCTTATCATTTTTTTGAATCGTGTAAGAAAGGAAAAAAAGGGAATATAATTTTTTTTTAGGTATTATACTAAAATTTTCTTTTCGTTATTCTCTATTTTCTCATATATTGAAAATTGCACTAAAAAAACCTCAGATTGTCCTTTTGACCGCTTTTGCCCTTTTCACGCTCTCCGCTTTACTGTATTGGTTGGTAATTGAACGCTTCAGGTAAAATGATTGATTGGTTACAACAATCATAATAACTGGTAAATATTGTTGACAATTAAAATAATCATGCAATTTAAATGGTTATTATAAAATGGTAAAGGAAGAAATTTTAATTTTTAATGAAATACAAATAAATTAATTGATATATTTCTAGCTAATTTAAAAAGAAAAGAAATATGAAGAATTAAGTAATATTAAGTGATAAAATCCAATTAACATTTATGCGTGAGATAATTATATTTTAATATAAAAATACGTGAAAAATCAGATGGAACAAGAATTCTAAATTGAAATTCCATGCATTTCCAGCTGTTCAGTTGATAAGTATTTATTGGTGGATTTGGAATATACAGATGATCTAACAGCTGGACAAGAATCACATGTTTTCAAATTTGCCGATCGTCCAGCACTTTATTTCAACTGTCAATTAGAATTGACCACTAAAGATTACTATCGTGGATGTGCAAATGAGGTTTGACATTTATTTGTCAGAGCTGTTGAATTTTTAATTTCATCAATTTTTTGATTTTTAGCTCTTTTTATTCAGATTATTTACTAACATTGTTTGAATGATTGACAAAATTCTATGCTCACATTTTTTAGCGACCAGTTTGCAAGGGTCAAATTCGAGTGAAACCAGCGGAACAAACTTACGAACAAACTACTGGTACTACAGAGGAAGAGTAAGTTTTACACTATTGTTGCATTATGATGATTTTTAAGAAGTTGAAAAGTTATGAAAGTTTTTTTTTTCTTAAATTTATTTCAGAACACAAACATCCGTCAATGAAGGGAACAACAAACAGCATGGTTATTCAAGTAATAATTACAACTAATTTCATTAAAAAAAAAAGAGTTTTAAAACAAAAATATGAGTTCAAATTTGAAGTTTTACCATTTCAAATCTTTCAGGTACGGCTGACATGGATTATAGAAGTAATGAGTCACCATATCAAAGTAATGAAGTGATCTATTCATCATTACCTGGTCCACCAGCTCCTCCAAGTCGATCTGCTGATTCATCTCATTTTCAATCTTCTCCAAGATCAGTTCACCTTGCTGATAATAATTATGAAGTAACATAAAAAAAAAATTTGTCTCGATTTAAAATTAATCAATAATTTCAATCTCTAAATTCGTTTAATTCAATTCCCTCCACAAATTAATTAATTCATTTATGTTTGATTTAATTTTGATAAAATTAGTTCTAATTTCATTTCATTCATTGTTTAATTTTACAAATGCTGAGAATTAATTTTAATTTTGTAATATCTCTATTCCTGTATAAGGATATATCTACTGAACAGCATACAGAAGAGTACGGTCAATTGGTTGCACGAGAAACGACAACGTTTTATGAAGAAGCAATGGCTTATAAGCGATTAATCAGAAAGAAACGAAATTCAAGTAGTATTGAAATTTTTTATAATAACGAATTAAGCATGCAATATCTTTGTAAATATTTTTAATCAAAATAAGCCTAAATTTGTAATTTACTTCATATATAGTTTAAAGAGGTGAAAACAAATATCAATAGATAATATCATTATTAAAAAAATATATCTGAAGAGCAATATTTAGCAACAGTAATTTTTCATCTTTCACTTCATTTATACCAGTATTTTAGAAGTATCAAGCTAACAATATAAATTACATTTTAAGCTTATCAGTATAAATTACAATTTAAGGATCATAATTTATAATTTATATCAGACTAATTCATTATAACAATTTGCCTAATTAAATGAAAGAAAGCTAATAGCTAATTTATGAAAATTTATAGCCGGTCAACATTTTTCATCCACCTCTGCAAATATATTGCGGCCAAAATTACGTATTGCTAATGTTGATCTTCCGGAACAATGCATAATGGTATTTGACCTCGAAGATGAAAGTAAGCCCATACATTTAGCCCATTTAGCCCATAAAGTAAGCCCATACGTTAAATCCTATTCTTTTTTTCAGTGAACTTTTTTTTTTTTGATGAATTAAATGACAATGATTTAGTGAAATTTCAATATTCCGTTTTTTTCTTCATATTCTCAAATCTTTTTAGATAATGGAGAAATGCAACCGGGAAATTTCGATCGATTACTTAACACAATTAAAACTTCCAGGACATGTTTTTCAACAAGTATGCAATAAATTTTCCTTCTTTCATTTTCGTCGAAAAATTTAATGTGCCAAGAATTTATTTTTTTAATGAGCTAAGAATGAAATTAACACAGATAATGTTATTTGAAAGGAAAGAAAAGCTACGAGCTATACTTATTTACTAAAATAATGGCTTATTTCTGGCAAACATCAGGAAGAGCCGATTCTATTCAATCCATAATGTATCATTTAAAAATATCACGATCTATATATATAGCAAAATAAAAAATTATAAAATTTTTTATCTTATTTTTGTTCCAGATTTAAATTTTAAAAAATTTAACAAATTTCAGCTCGATTAACAATGTTGTTAGCTATCGCTATGATAACGTTTGCTCTCTTTGCCATAGCATTGATCGTTGTTTTACGAAAAGGAAGGATAGTTTTGCTTAATGATTTCATCAAATAATTTGATCATCAGAATTACCTATTTTTCTCTTTTTTCTTTTTGTTATTTATCCATTTAAAAATTTTTTGTTTCAAAATTTTCAAATTACATTTTTATATTTCTATAACTCTATCTAAAATCTAAATGATTGGAGGAAAAGAATATTTTATTCTAAAAATAGAAATATTCATTAACAATTTAATGTGCAGATAATTTACTCGAAATTATCAATTTTTCTTTAAGTGCAATAATTAAATACGACATTTTTTTTTGCTTTCATTTGATATGACAAAAAAGTGAAAAGAATAAAAAATCCGTGAGAATTTCTAAATCATCAAAATATTCCTAACATTTATTTAGGCATTGAAAATTTCAATAGCAAGCTTTTTTTTTAATTTCATGTATTTTAACTAACAATAATGTATGTATTTGATAATTGCAAAGATCATTATCACATTTTATATAAAATATACGATGCATAAATGTATATATGTGCCTTACAGGAAATTAGAAAGCATTGTTTGATCAGTTAGTTCATTGCAATTTTTGAAATTGTTCAAAAATTTTAAGTGCTTTTTAATGGCTTAAAATATAAATGAATTTATTGTCGCATACATCACGGCAATGTAAATCATTGAAAGAATTGAAAAAAACTTTGTAATGCTTCAATTGTTTTTTAGCACTAAAATTTATTTTGTGAAATATATTGTAAAAAGAAGCTTTCATGTTTCGTTTTTGTCATTTGCTTATGAACAATAAATTTTCGTGTATAAAATTAATTTGAAAATAATCCAAGTTTGGAATTAAAGTTTAATGATAAGATGGAGAAGAGTAATCAAATGATAGCATGGGTTACTGGTAATCAGTTTTATCTAACGAAGAATTATAATCATCATTATCATCATCATTATCATCATCATCATCATCGTAATCATCAGCAGACATCGGTTCCATTTCCAAACAGTGCCCGGCTTCCGGTACAGTCAACTGTAAAGCACTTCTGCTAATCATTGATGCAGATTTCTTAATCTTAAAATAAAAAATTCTATATCGAGAAATTCTATCAATTTCAAAATCATATCAATCTCGTTAGAATTTTTTTTTTTTTGGATTAAATTACTAGACCTATTTTGATGGAGCAAAGACTTTTACTTGATGGCTAAGATGTTGTGTATCGTTGTCATGTTGTCGGGCAATGCAAACATACAGAGGTCGATAAAGAATAACACGATCATCAACTGATTGTTCTAAAGATGTTTAAGTTTAAAATATTAATTCATTTAAGAACAAAATTACAGTAATTATCGTTTCAACCATTCATATGAATTGGAATTTAAAAATAAAATTTAAAGTTAACAGTTGCCCGATTTTAATAAGTTTTTAACGATAGCACAGATAAAATGAATTCAAAAAATCTTCAAAATAAATACTAATCAAACCTAAATTCTGTCCATCGTCTACATGACTAAGAAATTCGGGCGAAATGTAACGACCACCTTCTACATGTGAACAACATGTATCTGAATAATAATTGAAATTATCTCGTTTTTTTTCTTTGACAAAATACAAAATTTTATTGTTAATAAATGCAGTATTAAAATTTATTATCAGTAAATAACTTGCAAATTACTGAATTGTAAAATTACGATTCAATCATTTTTGATAAAACAACTTCGCAACATATTAGACAGAATCAAATTAACAATCTTTAAACTAATATTTCATTATTAATTTACATTTTTAGTGTTTTGAATCAAATTTTCATTGAAAATTATTTAATATTTGTGTAGATGATACAAGCAGCTAAATTATTTTTCAGGTTAAATGTTCTTTGCTATTACGAAAAAATTTCACAAAAATGCAA